ACGATTGCGATCGACGCGCAGTGCTTCGAGCTTTGACAGCGACTCGCATTCAGGTGTGAGCCTCGTTCCGCCAACGCTACCCGGCCTGCGATCCCTGAGCGACAATGCCATATCGGAGTCGAGAGGGTCATGGCTCACTGAGGAGGGCTACCTCGGTCGATTGAGCCGCGGCGGACCGTCTCAGCGACAAAGTCGGAATTCTTTCCTCAGTTTGTACGAGAGCATACGCAAGTTTCCCTCGGGGCCACGTTTCCTTCGTGCACAGGATGGCAACTCGTTCAGAAGCACCTTGGATATTACTATACCTTCCATGGACGACGATGAGTTTGACCGCAAGAGTATACAGCCCACACCAGAGGTGGCGTACATGTTTGAGAAGCCTGGGCACTCTAAGAGATCAGAGACAGCGACGAGCAACAATCTGCTCCCCGTGCCTCCTTTGCCAGCCGCCGCCTCTGATGCACTGTCTTCCATTCCGGAGCAGATGAGCCCGCTCGGTTCTCACCCTACACACGGGAAAAGGTTTACGGGGACCAACCCGGCTGGTACATTCAAAGTATACAGCGACAACGACGCTCAGTCGAGCAGCTTCCAGACTGTCTCTGGCTCAAGCGAAGAGCGCAGCGATGGCGTCAGCCTCTTTAGACAAATGTCCATGCAGAGCGACCTGTCTAGAGCCAGACCTGTGAGCCGCCGTTCTGATGCCAGCCCGTGGTTCGGTAGCCGCTCCGGTGTGCCACCCCGGACCCCGCGACGTCGGCAGACTGTGACATATTCGTCATCCGCATCCGTCCCAACCTCGACCACGGGCTCTTCGGACGCAGAGGTGAACTGGTCAACGATAGCGCCAGGAACCTCGGCAGCCCGCGGCACAGAAAACTGGCAGACGGCCCCTCGCGACTCGCTCGGCATTGCATACGAGGAGCTCGTGCGCGAGTCTCCATTCTACCCAACACAAACTCCGCCACGCCGGCCGCTCAAGTCAGCAAAGAGATCCGTCGGGTCGTCCAACCCTTTGTTTCAGGATGAAAACAGGCGCAACAGCGCATGGATGGGCAAAGGCGTATCTCTTCGACGTGACAAGTCGCGCGAAAGCGAGTCAACAATCAGTCTCATGTCACCGAGCAAATGGGACACTGGTGCCAGGGTACCGCTGGGCAATCGACCAGCTTCCTCGATTCGACCTGTGAAGCCGTCGGCCGTGTGGCTTGGGGAAAGTGGAGAGCCGTCTCGTTACTCAACGTCCAAGCCTGGTTCTGGGGATTCAGGCTGGGAGACCGAGGCGGGTGCTCCTATGGGAAGGGATGACAGCAGCACCATAGGAGCGACGGCAAGGGATGACAGCCGCAAGGGTGGGCTCGGGAGAACTGAGAGTGACGACTTTGCCGTCTTCATCTAGTTCATCGATTGTTTGTACAGTTTCGTCCGATTTGTCTTTTTCTTATACCCCGGCCCTCTGGACCAGCCCGCACCTAGACATACTCCATACTAGCAAAACGTATGCTTAATATATCCCAGTCGTCGATACAATAGACGGACGGGTTTCCCAATGTCCGTGTATGACAGTCTTGTGTTTTTCTTTCGAGAGGAAGATGTCATTCATGGTGCATGATCACCGGTGGCAGGAGCAGCAGCAGGACTCACTCCCCTGAAGTTTCTAGAGACATCCAGGCATCCTAGACTCAACGGAAAAATGTCATGGGGGCCGAGAGACCACGCGTCGCGTAATATGACTCCCTGTGTTCCGTCACGAAGAAGAAAAAAACACGACTCAAATTGGCTCGTTTGTCTTCATCCGAGGCTCGGGATTCACACATTGGCCTGGCAAGTGTGATGGGATCGTAGACTGGTTGATCCTTCTCGGTGCAATCACTGACGAGCCCTGGACCGCCCCGCGTTGTCGTGCGCACCAGGTTGGCAGTACCTCAATACGGCAGGTCAGAGAGCAGCAGCAGGGCCAAAACAGCTAGACGCAAACGCCTCGCCGTGTGGCACTCGCTGGCTGTCTTCATGTCTTCCTCCTATGTCAGTGGAGTGACTACCTACGTTGAGGATGGCGGCGTCCGTGCCATCATGAAAAATTGTAGGCAGCCCGGGCGTGTGGCGTGGCGTGCCTGATTTGAGGTACTTCTTTGCTGGATGAGGTAAGGAGAGGTAGGGCTACCCAGAGTGGGATGAAGTGGGGGGGAAAGACACGATGCACGCCTCTCGAGGCAGGCAGGCCATCAAGGGATGACGGGAACGGGCAGTGCAGGCAGTGCAGGCAAGGTCGACCAAGGGGCGAGGTCACGCGCAAGGCAGGGCAGGAATGGCAAGGGCAGACAGGAAGAAACAACAGGAGGCGTCGCCTGGTGAAGCCTAGTCTCCAGCTACAGCGTACCTGGGCCTGTGACTCCGCTGTATAACGGCACGACAGGGAACTTGGTCTCCCCCGAATTGGGCCCCTGGCGCGGGCGCCTCCCTCCCCCCCCCCGCTTCCTTTCGTCAGGCGCAGCAGCATCACCACAGGTACCTTAGGTAGGTAGGTACGGGCAGGCAGACACACCACCACACCACTCCCGTTAACAATCCCGTTGGCTCACAGGCACACCACGGCACACGCGACCTCGCCCCAGACTCCCGAGTGATTTTGCAGCCTTGGGAAAAATTCAAACCCTCTAGACCCCCTTCGCCATTCAGGCCCAACCTCACCTGTCCTCGCAACATTTGTGACTTGATCATCTCGTACCCCGTCTTGACGATCCAAAGCACCTCCTACCCTGCAGGGCCTGGCCGCGACAGCTCTGATCGACAGTCCACACGCCTTGTCGCTCCCACGAAGCTGCTCAGCCAAAACCACCAGCTGCGACCCGGATACCCCGCTCCTGCCGAATCTGCGCGATCTAGAACTTTGCTGCCGAGTACGCCTGCCCATACCGCCCTCCACCTCACCAGTTCACACAATCCGACAACCCTCCTTGCTCCCTCCCCTCCGTCCCTACTATCCCGCCCACCTCACCACCTTACACCTCACCACCTCACCACCCCTCCCCCTTCCACTTCCTCGGACGGGTCTTTTTTTCTGCTTCCACGATCGAGTCCCGTTTGAGATACCCCGCGACGACCTTATTCTGACCCGCGCCTCCACTCCCAGGACTCCTCTCTCTCAACGCTCGCACTCTCTCCCTCTTTCCTCCCACCTCGCTCAATCCCTCATCCCTCAAGCACCCTCAGCTCGCCACGCCCGCTCCACTCCATCAGCGACACCTTTTGACTACCCAGCCATCATGGGTCAGACTCTCTCCGAACCCGTTGTCGAGAAGGTATGTCGTCTTCTCTCCTGCCCGCCTCTGCCCTGAGCGCGACTTGTCACGGTCCCCCTTCCAAAGCCCCAAAACCTCGGCACCACGCCTGGCACGGCGTGTTCCAAAGAGCCTGGCGCCCCCTTCCCCCTCCCCCAGTTGCATCATTTCGCGTCGCGGGGCTTTCTGGCCAAGCCCACATCCCACCTGCAGCCACATAACAAGTCGCGCCCTCGCGAACCCCTCAACGCTTCAAGACGCACATGAACGGCCATGCACATTCACATCACTTCTTCTGCGTGCTGGAGCAAAACCGCTGACTGGTTTTTGTGTGTTTCTTGCCTGACAGACTTCGGATACCGGCGAAGATGCGCGCCTCATCTACGGTGTCTCTGCCATGCAGGGCTGGCGGATAAGCATGGAGGACGCCCACAGCACCAAGCTCGACCTCCTCCCTCCCGGCAGCGATGAAGCGAAGCAGCATGCCTCCCGGCTCTCCTTTTTTGCAGTCTACGACGGTCATGGCGGTGATAAAGTAGCCTTATTTGCTGGCGACCAGCTGCACGAGATTGTCCGCAAGCAAGAAACTTTTAAGAAGGGCAACTATGAACAGGCGCTGAAGGATGGCTTCCTGGCCACGGATCGCGCTATCCTTAACGGTAACAGAAAAATTCTCGCGCACCTGGTCAAATCGGCACTCAGCTGATTTCTTCGTGCGCCACTGCAGATCCCCGCTACGAAGAGGAGGTCTCTGGTTGCACCGCCTGCGTCAGCCTCATCAACGATGACAAGATCTATGTCGTGCGTCTCCCCCCTCTCCGAGCCCTTCCCACACAGCGCTTCTTCGGTTGCTTCACCACCGGCACCCAGCGCCGTCCAAGTCGCATCTGCTAAGATTTCCAATAGGCCAACGCTGGTGACTCGAGGGGTGTTCTGGGTATCAAGGGCCGCGCCAAGCCCCTGTCGCAAGACCACAAGCCCCAGCTCGAAGGTGAGCATCCCAGCGGCTGCCGCATTGGCCCTTGTGAGAAGGATTTTGAACTAACGATTGGGGGGTTCATCCCCTCTACCTCTTTAGCCGAGAAGTCCCGCATCACCGCCGCTGGTGGTTTCGTCGACTTTGGCCGCGTCAACGGCAACCTTGCCTTGTCGCGTGCCATTGGCGACTTTGAATTCAAGAAGAGCGCCGAGCTCTCTCCTGAGGCGCAAATCGTCACCGCCTTCCCCGACGTCGAGATTCACGACATCACGGATGACGATGAGTTCCTGGTCCTCGCGTGCGATGGTAAGCCGAAAACTGATTTGTCGTGCCTTCATCCCCGAGGAACCGTCGCTGACTCGTATTTTGCTCTCAGGTATCTGGGATTGTCAGAGCTCTCAGGCTGTGGTCGAGTTTGTCCGCCGCGGTATTGCCGCCAAGCAGCCCCTGGACAAGATCTGCGAGAACATGATGGACAACTGTCTGGCGTCCAACTCGGAAACTGGTGGTGTCGGCTGCGATAACATGACCATGACGATCATTGGTCTCTTGCGCGGCAGAAGTAAGGAGGAGTGGTACGAGGAGGTTGCCAAGCGGGTTGCTGCCGGTGACGGACCATGCGCTCCTCCCGAATACGGTACGACATCATCATCACCCAAATCGTCCTAGAGCAATGAACGGGGACACCAGCCAGCCCCATGCATATCCTCCTGAAGCCACTGCCCTTCTTGACTTCTCGATTCCGTTGCATCCATTTTCTACCACTTGTTGAGGGGACACCCTGGCTGATCTGATCGCGTGCCTCCACAGCGGAATTCCGGGGACCCGGTGTTCACCACAACTTTGATGACAGTGAGGGCGAGTACGAGGTGGATCAGGAGCAGAAGGGTGGCAAGAACTTTGGCATCAGTGGCTACAAGGGCCGTATCATCTTCCTTGGCGACGGTACCGAAGTTCTCACCGACTCGGACGACACGGAAATGTTTGACAACGCCGAGGAGGACAAGGACCTCGAGAGCCAGGTTTCCAAGGGCTCCTCGGCGGCGTCCTCCAAGGACGGCGAGGCGACCAAGACCGAGGGTGACTCCAAGGCTGATGCATCAAAGTCTACCGACGAATCCAAGCCCGCCACGACCGCATCCGATGTCAAGGCCGCCGAGTCTGCGCAGAGCGAGTCGAAGGAGGAGGCCAAGGCCTCCGCCTAGATTCAGGCTTCCCCCTTGATGCGAAGAGAAACCAACACACTAAGGAGCAGCAGAGCGTTTGGCATAAATGGCTTGGCATGACGAGATATGAATGGAGGGCATGGGCAAGTCTACTTGGGACTGGATGAGTGATAATGGCCCGGCGGCAGCGGACGGGACGGCTGGGAGATGTTTTCTATTGTTTTCTTCTTTCATCGCGCTGGGTGCAAGGGAGGTTTTGAACTTCGACTCCGACTCTGGGCGTCGTCCAGAACGGGATGATGCGGGACCGGGGGGCGGCGGTAGACAGGACCGGAGCAGCGGGCGCGTAAGAAAGTCGTCGAGATACCGACCCTGCTCACTATCGTCGTGTTGCGCTTTATTTGGCGGCAGCAGTATGTGTCGATATCACGAAATCCACTTGCATAACGAAACTCGGGAGCACTCCGTGTGTGTGTGCAAGACATTGGCTGGGGAATTTGTCTGCAAACATATTCTGCGGACCGGTCCGTTCAACTCGCTGTGCTGTCTGTGTTCGTGAGCTACATCACAGAAAGACGACCGATGCAATCTAGTAAAAAGGTGTGAATGCTCCGAGTATGGTAGGTATTTCAACAGTATGGTACAGGTCATCAAAATCTACAAGGCCGCCATGCATCCGACAGCGCAAGCGGGCCATCTATTCTATCCGTTTACATCCAGGCCGCGCCGTACAGTCAACTCCAAGGGAAGGGCGGCGAGCATCCTATCGGGGCTCATTCTTTCTACACGGTCGTTTTGAAAACGATGTGCGTCGAGGGATGATGTATCCTCTCCTGTCGCGTATCAGGCGGTCGCCGTCCCCATCTCCCCCGTGTCTGTATTCGTAGTCTTCATCTTCTTTTTCTTCGCCCGTCTCTGCGCCGCACTCAGGGTGCGCCGGAAAATGGTCATGTACAGTTGGCTATCGGCGGCCGGCGTCTCGGCTGCTGTCGACAGCGGCGCAGAGGAGGTCGAGGCTTCTCTTGCTCCGTCGTCGCGGGTCTCGGACGCGTCGGCCGGCCGCCGCGCGACGAGGGGCAACGGGAGGCCCTGTTCCTTGATGCGCCGGGGTGCGTGTTCGTCGACGGGGTCCGCGGCGCGGCGGCGCTCAAGGTCGCGGTCGGCTTCCAGGGCCTCGGCGAAGAGGACGTGAAGGGGCCGGGCGGGGTGCCAGTCGCTGGCGCGGGAGTAGCGTTTGCGGTAGAGGTGCGCTATGCGGGAGCCCGTGTTGGCGGGGAGGTGGGCGAGGTCGTCGTCGCTGGTGGTCGGGGCGTGGGAGGGGGGGAGGAGGGCCGCGAGCATGTCGGGTTCGTGGAAGGTGGGGAGGGCGGCGTGGTTTGCGTATTGCGCTTTGGGCTGGTTCTTCGGGGATGGTGCTGGTAATGGTGACGGCAAGGAGGAGGAGAGGGTGGAGGAGGAGATGCGGCCTTGGTCCAAGGTCTGCTGTTCAGTCTCCGGGAGGCCAAGAAGGAAGGGGCAGGCTTCGTAGATGGCCGCGACGCGGACGCGCATCTCGTGCGTCTCGCAGCGGTGGATGC